AGACAAAACACCTGAGGACATCATTTTACGCAGTGTCTCATCTCACAAAAAGCTAGATAGTTGAACTAATAGTAGTCAAAGAAGATAAAATCTCAATTTTAACATACAACCAGAAAATGCAGAACAGCAGAAATTTTGTCTCACCTTATAAGATCCTGCATGATCACGTGCAAGACGAAGGTTGACGCTTCCTTACTGTCAGTGTCCCTGAGATCCTCTTCATTTTTTGTCACACCAGGCTTGATTGTGAGAGCCAGAAACATTCCTGCAACACAAAGTATCAGGCAGGATGTCAAAAGCAATAACACAGATCAAATTATAGCGGTCTTCATAAATCTATCTTAAAATCTGCTACCCATGATAAATTTACCGAGAATTACGGCTATTGAGGTAGAGCCACAGACGAAGGTCCCTGTGATGATAGCTGTTTTCCTGGACACTCTGGTGTTTAATCCAGTTACTCCTGAGAAAAAAGAGCATATAATCGCATGTTTTAATCAACAAGATGAGTGAGCATCTTTTCAGTATCTCTATAACAATTATAAGTTAATATATCAAGTATCTGAATTCATATTTAGTTTGCCTGCAACCACGCTTGTCACGATGAGGGATACAGCAAACATCTTAAGCATGTTGATAAGCATTTCCCCTGGTACTTTGATCCACTCTTTCAATTCTTCAGTTACAAGAGTTGTAGCCCTCAGCAGAAACCCAATGCCAAACCCTGCATGGCAAAAAAACAAACAAAAAAACAACAAAAAACATTCATACAAAATAGATATGAAAAAAAAACAAACTTCATCATGTAAAAACCTTAAGAAGTAAATGGGAGTGCTTAAAAAATAGCAAATGATACATTTTGCAGACATATTTTCCATATTTTTTCAGTTTGTCTATAGGCAACATTGCACCCTAATGCTGAATATTCAAAAGTTACATGTGTTGTAATAATTTGTTAAATATTGTGTTTTCACTGTAAAAACAAACATCTACAAACCATCCATCAGTTTGTGAACTGAGCTACTGAAATAAAAATAAATTTTCAGTAATCTCCTTATTTACTGAGCTTGACTTTAATGCATCCAAGATCACATGTAAATTTCAAATTTTAACATTTTACATCTAAATCAACTAACCACACAGTAACAAAATGCCATGTTGCCATGGTGATACAATGGTTCACAATGAAATAACTGCAGAACAACTCCCCCTACAATCTTTTGTTTAATACTGCTATTTCATAAATGGAAATGCTGGGGACAATATAAACAGCTTCCACAATCATGATATAAAACAGATTAAAAGATGAAAGGATCAACAAACTCCCATAACAATAAGTATATATTTTTTAAAACTTCACACCTCCCTGGTTCCCTCTCGTGGTGGAGGGGTTTGAGTGTCCAATGATCCTAGGAGCTATGCTGTCTTGGGCTTTCTGCCCATGGTTGTGTCACCCAAGGCAGACAGGTCCTAGGTGAGGGACCAGACAAAGCGCAGCCTGAAGACCCTTTTGATGGATGAGAACTTTGGATTTGGTGTTCCCTCTCTGGGGAGCCACTCTGGAGCCAGGCCTGGAGATGGGGCACGATGGCGAGTGACTGGTGGCCGGGCTTCTACCCATGGAGCCCAGTCAGGCTCAGCCCAAAGGGGAGACATGGGTCCCCCCTCCCATGGGCCCACCGCCTGTGAGAGGGGCCAAAGGGGTCGGGTGCAGTGTGGGATGGGCGGTGGCCGAGGGAGGGGGCTCTGGCGGTCCAATCCTCGGTTGCAGAAACTGGCTCTTGGGTCGTGGAATGTCACCTCTCTGGTGGGGAAGGAGCCAGAGCTAGTGTGTGAGGCGGAGAGGTTCCGGCTAGAAATAGTCGGTCTCACCTTGAAACATGGCTCTGGTTCTGGAACCAGTCTCCTTGAAAGGGGCTGGACATTCCACTCTGGAGTTGCCCAAAGTGAGAGACGCCGGGCAGGAGTGGGCATACTTGCTGCCCCTTACCTGGGCGCCAGTAACGTGCGGTGAGATTCATAGCTGGTGAGGCACCGACTTAATTATAATCAGATTTACAAATCTAGACCCCTGCATGTTATTGTTGACATAAGGAAATTTAGCGCATGAGTACAATGCTGGAGGGCAAAAAGACTATTCTTTAAATTGTGATGCTTAGCTGCGCCGCCGCCACAGAATAATTCCTTTATCTCAATCAAACTTAGACATGTAGATATTAATTTTGTGCTGTGCTTAACAGGAAAGGAGAAACCGTTAAAGTACAACTCAAAACCATGTCTTTCTCGCTCTCTGTATCAGCGCAGCTACTGTATGGCTAGCTCGCTGTTACTGTCTCTTACTCTGCAGTTGTGGAGTCACAATATCTGGGATCATGAGCGCCCCCAGCGATGAGGCAGGAGAACTGCCTGCCTCACCTCGAATCTGTTCTCTGCCGTTTCTGATCGCTCCTCAGCACACAAAACACGATACACACACAGTTGGTGACAATAAAAACACAGTACATTAAATACATAAGCTGAATAATGGAAAATCAGTTCATACATTAAATGTTTTAACCATTTTATTGGCGACGTACAGACAGGACGAACATGTTCTCATAGAATGGCAACCGGTGCAGTTAGTGAGAGGTTGCGCAATCACAGGTGAGGCTCAGCTCGCTGCTGCCTCACTGAGTTCGCTTCCAAGCATTTGAATGGGAAAATGCGAAAATTCATCGATTTTGATGG